TAGAAAGTTTGACTTCAGTACTAAATAAAACACATAAGGTTTTGATTAAGAATAATGCTATGTGCCCTTTTATAAACATTTTTAGCAAAAGAGGTTTGGTTGTTTTTTTTTTTTTTTTAGATCTTTTATCTATTTGAAGTAACTAAAGTATTGTTTTGATTTGATTTGTATGCATTCTTTTGATAACAATACTAAGCCTTATTTCAGATTACCTTGAGAAAAAACGTAGAGTCAGCATTAAGACAGTTGGAAAGAGAGAAGGCGCTGCTCCAGCACAAAAACGCTGAACATCAGAGGAGAGCTGACCATGAAGCAGACAAGAAACGGAACTTGGAAAATGATGGTGTGTGGTGTAGACTATGTAACACTTATTTTCCTTATACTTTAAGGAAAATATGATTATATATTGTATTAGAGCTTGCACTGAAATGCTTTTTGCTATAGTTAACAGCTTAAAAGATCAACTTGAAGATTTAAAGAAAAGAAATCAGAACTCTCAAATATCTACAGAGAAGGTGAACCAGCTACAGAGACAGGTACGTTCCTCTCAGTTGGAGACAGAGTGTAGTGTTCAGTTCACGGCTGCTTTAACCAAAATTTCCTGGGCAGTGCTCAAAGGCCTTGCCTCTAGTTTTAGAGGAAAGTCCTTGGGAAACAATTTTAGGTTATTGTTTATTTTAAATAGTTTATGATAGGATGATAAACCAATATGTTTCCATTGTGTACAGTGTTTGTATGCATTTGTTTGTATAATAGCTGGATGAAACGAATGCTTTGCTGCGAACAGAATCTGATACTGCAGCCCGGTTGAGAAAGACTCAAGCAGAAAGTTGCAAACAGATTCAGCAGCTGGAATCCAACAACAGAGACCTACAAGATAAAAACTGCTTGCTAGAGACTGCCAGGTTAAAACTGGAAAAGGAATTTATCAATCTTCAGTCTGCTCTAGAGTCAGAGAGGAGAGACCGGACCCATGGATCAGAGATCATTAATGATTTACAAGGTACAAATTATAGATTGTATTGAAATCATTTTGATGATTTATAGTTTGATAATAACTTTAAATGATGGATACTGTGCTGCAGTAGAATATTTCTAAATACATTCAGAAATCATGTTATGTGAACTTAGAATGTTGGAAGAGCATTGGTAAACATTTTAGGAAGAGTACACATTCAAATAATATGATTTTAAATATCAGGTAGATGGTAGATTGGCTTCTGGCTGAACTAGTTGAGAAGTGCTATACCAATAAGTAGGGAACATTTGCTGACAGATAAAGCTCTGAAATAGGAGAGGGCTTCCAGATTTTTCTTTCTTCATTGAATGTATATAATTTTATGAGATTGTTTTAAAAACTGTTGCAATCTTTAGGTAGGCTGTCTGGCCTAGAAGAAGATTTAAAGACTGGCAAAATCTTACTAGCAAAAGTTGAACTGGAGAAGAGACAACTTCAAGAGAAGCTTACTGATTTGGAAAAGGTAAAACATGTTAAAGCTTCCTTTTTTTTTTTTTTTTTTTTTTGATGTATTTGGTACAGGATCTCATTACGCAGCTTAGACTTGTAGTGATCCTTCTGTTTTCAGCCTCCCCAGTGCTAGGATTACAGGCCATGCCTGGTCTCAGGGGCCAGCTCAGCACACCTGGGAGCAGGGCCAGCGCGGCATGTGGTGCTGGGAAGCAAACCACGGTCACTGCACTTGCCTAAGCAGGTGCTTAGTCCATTGAGCTATCTCTCCAGCCCAAACTTTACTTTTTTTGTATAAGAAAATCACAAAATTTCAGATGAGAAAAGTCATCTAAAATAAGAGAAATGGCCAAATGGAACATTTTCACCCACTAATGGATTTTCTCTTTGGACTTGGGCATGGATTAGACTTGGAATGAGAGTAATAGACAAGGGAAGGGCTCAGTTTATAGGTCATGACAGGATTCAAAATAGTGTCACCGAGTAAGTAATAAAGGAAAATTAGCTCCTTCAGAAGCAGCATCAACCCACTACTATTGTGGACTGCTGGACTGTGTTGAATTGTTTTGCAGAATTCACTCACCTATAGTATTTAAATGCCAATGGAATACCCATTTCTGACAGGACTAAACAAAAAAGGGGATACAAAAGAAGGACCAGTTTGTATCTGTATATGCAGAATAGTTAGGATAGATATATAGCTACTTTCACTTAATTCATTGAGAAGAAAGATTTGTACTAATAGTGTTTGGACAGGATATTCTGTCTGCATCTTATACTATGGATAACCACTAAGAAGATAACAATGTACAATGTATTAATTATTGAAACTCTCCTATTAATCAGTTTTGAAACTGTCTCATTGATATTTGTTTCTCAATAAAATAAAAGAAAAAAAAGAAGCAGCATCAGTAAATTTATCTTCACCTTCTTAACTTTTGAGGTGCCCATAGAATAGCCACATTAAAATATCCACAAGGCAGGAGGTAGCTAAGGGTATTTCATTGGGATGTAGGAGGCTGCACCACAGGTGTGGGGTCCTGGGAAGAGACTACATAAAGTAGCAGTGACTATAACAGAATGGTTGCTTCTAGTGGTGGATTATATAATTTGAAAAGTCCATCTGTCTGTCAGTCTGTCTGTCTTTCTTTCTTTCTACATACCAGGAATGGAACTCAGGACATTACCCTTGCCTGACACACGCTTATGCTGCTTAGTTATATCCCCAGCCCAAAGTCATTTTCAGTATTAAAGATTTTATTTGAAAAATATCTGAATCAGATTTGTGATATGAACTATAAAAGTTAAAGAATGAGAAAATCCTAGTGGTAGACAGCATCAGTGATGAATGCCTCAAATCGCAGCTTTCAGGAAGCTCAGGAAGGATGGCTACAACTTTAGGACCAAGCTAGGCTACAGAGTGAGCTCAAGGCCAGCCTGGAACACATAACAAGCCTCTGTCTCAAAAAAAAAATCATGGTGGTATATGTAGAAAAGTAGAATGATTTTTAGAGATGTTGAGGGTTTTTGTTTTGTTTTAATGTAGCAAAGGGAAACATTAAATCTGAGAAACATACCACAGGAAGTTTGAGAAATTACCACAGAAAGAGGGAAAACCAGGAGCAGGATGGGGAGAGCCAGTGCTGAGGGCATAGGTGACTTCAGGTGAGGGACAGCCCAGGACAAGCCTTGGATGTGATGGTGAGGTGCCACAGGTAACTTTCTGAGGTACTGTGTCCTCAGCGCAGGTGTCTGAACAGGAGCCTGCAGGTGTGGCAGGTGTAGAGGGCAAGTGGATCAGCAGGGAGAGGGGTATTGAGCATTCCTGCTGAGCCTGTTTAGGAACAATCTTAAGGGGCTGGGGAGATAGCTCAAAGGCATAAGCACCTACCTGGCAAGCATAAGGACCAGAGTTCAATCTCTGGCCCCGAATCTTGTGCCGGCCCCAGGGCCCTGGAACTCTGGGTGCATGCCTTTAATCCCAGTACTCAGGAGGTTGAGACAGGAGGATCGCTATGAGTTTGAGGCCAGACTAAATGAGCACAAGGCTAGCCCAAACTACATAGTAAGACACAGTCTCAAAAAAGAATAGTCTTGAGAACTTTTGAAATGGCAAACCGATGTGTTTTGTTTTGTTTTGTTTTGTTTTGTTTTGTTTTGTTTTGTTTTGTGTTTTTGTATTTTAGAGAAGGGTCTGCAGGAAGTTCACGGTCTCACTACTAGATCGGACTCATAGTGATCTACCTGTTTACAGCCTCCCAAGAACTGGGGTTACAGGTGCATGCCACTATGCCCAGTCTCAATTGCCATCTCAGTGTGCCCCAGGGGTGGGACCAGCACAGCAGGCCCAGGGATTGAACCCCCAGCCCCTGCGCCTGCTTGCAGGTGCTTTAATCTGCTGAGCTCTTTGGCCAGCCCCTTGAAATTATTTTTGAAGGCGACCTTTTTTGTTGACAGCTGGCATTTGGCATCTTAACAGGAAAAGAGCAACATGGAAATAGATATGACATACCAGCTCAAAGTCATCCAGCAGAGTTTCGAGCAGGAGGAGGCTGAGCACAAAGCCACAAAAGCACGGCTTGCAGACAAAAATAAGATCTATGAATCCATTGAAGAAGCTAAATCAGAAGCCATGAAAGGTACACACTTGAAAAGAGAGCTTCCAGCAGTATTTGCCTGAGGACTGACTGTATTCAATATTTTTGGTTCTGAAATATGTTTGTTTTATTGTCAGATATTGGGAACTTGGGGAAAAACTACCAGGGAAGCTTTATACACTTACTTTTCCTCTTTGCATCAGCAGAACCACTTTTAAGATATTAAGACTCAAACAGAATTATTCAAATATATTTTTAAGTCAGAGAAATGTGTTGTCAAGAATAATTGACAGCCGGGTGTGATGATACACTCCGATAATCCTAGCACTCAAGAAGCTGAGGCAGGAGGATCGCCATGAGTTTGAGGCCAGCCAAAGCTACATCACAAGACCCTGTCTCAAAAAACAAACAAAAAATGACATGTACAGAATGTGAAGGCCTAGATCTCTCAGACTAGGGCCATGTTCTCTTGGGTAATGTCTTAGTTACTTTTCTCATTTCTGAGACAAGATACCCGACGCTCGAAGTTAAAGGAGGGAAGTGTTATTAAGTTCATAATTTGTAGATGTTTCAGTACGTAGTTGGTGGCTCCAAGGCAGAGTGGCATCACAGAGGAAAAATAGTTCATGGTGGGCAGAAGGCAGCAGAGCAACCAGGGCCGACCCCTGCTCTTTCTGTTGTCTTATCTGGCTACTCAGGGTGAGTGTCACTCATACCCTTAATCCTAGCACTGCACCATGAATCCATCCCAGCATCACATTCTTGTGATCCTATGAACTCTGAGAAAGCCACATGATCTCATGACGCTGTAGGGTAAGATCAAGATACAAGTCATAACAGGAATTACTTAAGAGTATCAGAAAAATCAATCTTCAAAGATGTAAGCATTTTATAGTTATCTTGCTATCACTGGAGTAGGTATACTATTAAAGAACGTGATCCATTTCTATGCCCTGGAAATAAACACTTTTAATTTCTTTCTGGTATTGAGATTGAACCCAGAGCCTTCACAGTGAGCTGCATTCCAACCCTTTTTTTAAAATTTTAAGGTTACTTTCTCAAATTGCCTAACTTGACAAGAATAGGCTCAGATTGTGATCCTCTTGCCTTAGCCTCCCAGAGAGCATGGAGGACAGGTGTGCACCACCATGCTTGCATCAAGTGTAAAATTCTTGATAATTCAAATATATTGAGAGAAGTAATAAAAATAGTCAATCAGAAGTGACTAAAACAGTGAAGTAGTCTTTTCACTGTCCCTTTTGTGGGCACTGTTGTGTGTTTGATGAGCTGCTCTTACTTGTACAATTATGATTATGTCCCTGTCCCTGTGATAGAAATGGAGAAGAAGCTGTTGGAAGAAAGGGCTATAAAGCAGAAAGTGGAGAACCTGCTGCTGGAGTCAGAGAAGAGGTGCTCCATGCTGGACTGTGACCTGAAGCAGTCACAGCAGAAGCTGAGTGAGCTCCTCACACAGAAGGAGGTGCTCAGCGAGGATGTGAGCACTGGCTGGGGGGAGGGGGCTGGGGGCATCCTGGCACGGACACTCAGCACTTCCTTCTCAGTCTCTGTCATGGGATTTTGATGGCATATGATATAAATCATAGTTTAATCATTTCAAAATTATTATTTTTTATAGCTGTCTCAGCCTACCCTGGGGATGGAGCTGTTGCAGCATGTGGTGCTGGGGATCAAACTGCGGTCCCTGAGCTTTGCTTAAGCTTGCCTAAGCAGGCACTTTAGACCACTGAGCTATCTCACCAGCCCTCAAAATTATTTTCAAATAATTTTTTATATTAAAATGTATTTAAAACATTCTTGGAGGAAGAATGTATGCAATGTGTTAATTATTGAAACTGTCCTACCTATTTGATTTGAAACTGTCTCATTGCTATTTCTCAATAAAATTATGAAAAAAAATTAAAAAAAGAAATCAAAGAAAAAAACATTCTTGGAAATACACATTTTCATATGAAGTGAATCAGTTACCTAAGGATAAAAGTCTGGTGCCATGCTTGTTGTCAGTTTCATTGACCAGAAATAACTTACTTACTGTCAAACCTATGATTGATATTTATAGGTGAGAAACTTGACACTGAAGATTGAGCAGGAAACTCAGAAGCGCTGCCTAACTCAGAATGATCTGAAGCTGCAGACGCAGCAGGTGAACACGCTCAGGATGTCGGAGAAGCAGCTGAAGCAGGAGAACAACCACCTGGTGGAGATGAGACTGAGCCTGGAGAAGCAGAATGCCGAACTTCGAAAGTGCGTCTCTGCTGGCTGGCCCTGGGGCCTCCCTAGAGCTCTCCAGGACAGCTTACTGTCTTGGGCAGTGCTCTGGGGCAGGGTTGTCCTTTGAATCAGTTGAGGGTGCTGCTTTTTCTCCTTTGTTTTTCATACTGCTATGGTGCTGTGTTGTGGCAGGAAGGAGTGATCTGCCCTGGTTGGGGTTTGCCTTGGTTCCTAGGATTCGCTAGTATGTGGCTGTTAAGAAAACATCATACATATTATTAACCACTTTACAGGATATTCTTTGCTATTCTATTTAATGTACTTAGAACATGGAAAACATTGTTAAAATACTTTCAAAATATCCTGGATGTTGCAGTGGTGCACTCCTATCATCCTAGCTGTTGGGGTGCTGAGGCAGGAGGATTGCCAGGAGCTCAAGGCCAACCTGGACTAGCCGGAGGTACATAGTGAGGCCCTCAAAAAACTTCAAAAACAAAAAACCTTTCAAAATACTTAGTAAATCTACTCTCCAAGTCTGTCCCATCTTTTTTATCCTAAGTAGTCCCAGATGGAGGGTCCTGTGAATCCCAGCTCTCTGCTGGAGGTGGTGTGATACAGGGTAGGACTAAACTGTGGAGCCAGCAGATGTTCCATGATAGGATCGTCTACAAAGACTGGCAAGCAGTTACCTTCTCTGAGCTTGTCTCCCTTATTGTCTGTTGCATGGCTTTGGAGGAAGCTGTGCACACTGGTGGTGTTGAGCTCAGTGTGATTATGCAGGTGGCTTCCTCTCTTGCAGCAGAGTTTGATATGGCTTAGGGCTTTCCCACCCCCCTTTGGTGGCCCGGCATTGAGGCAGAGAACTCACTCAGCCTTTGCTCCACTGTCTCCACAGAGAGCGGCAGGACGCAGATGGTCAGATGAAGGAGCTGCAGGATCAGCTCGAAGCAGAGCAGTATTTCTCTGTGAGTTCCTTACACATTCATTTGGACATTGCTGTATTTGCAGAATTCTTAAACTCTTGCTGCAGAAACAGGAAAATGTGTTTCTTTAAGATAGATTCTTATATACCAGGCAGCATTTAGTATGGAATATTTTGTATCACACAACTCAGGTGAAAGTACCAGGCGAAAAAAAGTATAAATAATTTAAGACAAATGATCATTGCTAGAAAATAATCCTATCCTATCTGTGTATGCTGACACATACCTATCATTCCAGCATTTGGGAGGTTGAGGCTGGAGAGTCACCACAAGTTTAAGGCCAGCCTGGGCTGCACAGTAGAATGCTTTCTCAAAAAACAAACAAAACATTCTAAGCACATGGTATGCCACAGTTATGAAACTTATTAAGAGTATTGCTTTTTGGGGAAGAATGTTTTCATGATGAAAAATAAAATTTTAACAATTGTACTTTTTGAGATGTTTTAAATTTTAAGTAGAAATTGTCACCCCTGTTCTGTTGACTTGAATTAATAGAATTTTCTGCTGTAAATTGTTTTGAAGTGTTTGCTTCCTCATCCATCCTGCCCATGCACTCAGTGAGAACCATCCTGTGGCTTTACAGACTGGCTGAGCATATTTGAAGGCCCAGCCTCGCCCAGCTCCTAGCAAGCATTCTTTACCTTTACACCTGATGATGAGTTACACTGTGACCTGCTCAGGAGCTTGGTGTTGCTCAGGGCCCAGAGAGTATTTGTGTGTATTCAGCTTTTTCTCCAGATACATTTTAAATGTGAAAATAGTATTTTTACTATGTCCTCAAGTGGTTTAAATCTTTGTTGTAGGGACCGGGGAGATGGCTCAGAAGAATAAGTGTTTTCCTGGCAAGCTCAAGGGCCTGAGTTCAATCCCTGGGTCCACAAAAAAAAAAAAAAAGCAACTAAATCTTTTTTGTTGTTTTTGTTTGTTTGTTTTTTGTTTTTCTGGTACTGAAGATCTGGATGCCTTGTACTTGCCAGGCAGAGGCTTATGCCCCTGTGCTATCTCCCTAGCTCCTGTGAAAATAATGTTCTTGATAATGTAGATATTTCTGTCATATTTTTTGCTATTTAGACCCTCTACAAAACCCAAGTTAGGGAACTTAAGGAAGAATGTGAAGAAAAGACCAAGCTTTGTAAAGAGTTACAGCAGAAAAAACAGGAGTTCCAGGATGAAAGGTGAGTCTGAGCCTCATGTACTGGGGTGTTTGCTCCGCTCCTGGACATGAAGCCAGTCAGATGGGAGCTCCAACTCCACAGTGAGAAAGGAATGTGTGTACATGCTGCCCTGTGTGGAGCATAAGCCAAGCATGTGGACCCCGGCTCAGACGTCACACAGTGAATGCTCATGTGCATGACCTAGCCTCTCTGTGGTGCAGGGACTCCTTGGCTGCCCAGCTGGAGATTACCTTGACCAAGGCAGACTCTGAGCAACTGGCTCGCTCCATTGCTGAAGAACAGTATTCTGATCTGGAAAAGGAGAAAATCATGAAAGAGCTGGAGATCAAAGAGATGATGGCCAGACATAAACAGGAGCTTGCTGAAAAGGATGCCACCATTGCATCAGTGAGTGATATAAAGTTTCCTCTGCTTGTAGTGAAGTTGCTTTCCCAGGCTTTTGTGAAAGCATTGGGCCATACCAACTCTAAAGAGAAACCTAAAAGGGTACACTTTGAGTCCAATACCCACAGTCCCCTCAGCGTTGGGCAGTGACAGTCCAACCAAAGGGAAATTCCAAAGCTAGGTACATTGTCAGGTAGTTGGGTTTACTCTGCTGTCACTCAAGCTCACAGCAATGCTTCAGTAAGCCTGGAGTGTGTATTAGAGCAGGCTATGCAGCCGCTCAGGGAGGGCTTGAGAACTGGAGTGGGGCGGGGCCCGTGGAAGGTAGCAGCTAAGGAAGTGCAGCACACATGCAGTGGGCGGGGGAGAGCACTGAGGTGACATAGGGCTCGCAGTCCTTGTTTTCGTGTGGCACGGAACAGAGTTAGCTCTTTACCACTCCACACACTGAGGGAGGCTCTAGTTATCGTAATGACTTCAGTGTGGGGAAAAAAAAAGTTTCATCTATTAGAGCACAATCCAAAACTTAGACATTGTAGAGGCAACATAAGGACAGGCAGAAAGAAAGAATTTGTAATATATTCATTAAGCAAGAGTATGAGTATTCATACTAACTACAAGAAGAGAAATTGGCCAGAAGAGAAAAATCTAATGAATGCATAAGCAAGTGTCTTGCCTCCCTGTGCTTCACGAAAATGCTGGATAAAAGAGCTTTGAAACATTATTTCATGCCCCTGCATGGCAAAACTTGGTATCTATCTGGTCATTTCAAGTGTTTGAAAATGTCTGGAAAATATGTCATTGTATAGTTTAGTACCTGTCTGGAAGCTTCCTGTAAACTTTTAAGTGCATGTTGCAGTTCCAAGGAAATCCATGTTAAGGCAGAGGTGACAGAGAAACTCAGGCACAGTACTTACAGCCACATGAACATCTGTAAATAGGAAAAGCTCGAATGTCAAATGTCGCATTAAGAGATGAATAGATACATCATGTGCTAGGAGTCAGGGCTACTATGTGCATTAAACAAATTCAGTCCTCGGTGGCAACTTCATTCTTTAATGTGTTGAGTGGAGACAGTGCCAGAAAGGTCTCAAAGCCATGAGGTGATTAATATATATATATATATATATATATATATATATATATATATATATGATATAGGTTCTGGAGGGCAGAGTCCGCATGGGTACAAAGTGCCCTGCAGACAGAGAGGGTTGGGTGCGCATGGATTGGGAGGAGTGCAGGAAGGTGCAGCTCTTTATACAGTTTCTGTCCTCTGTTATAAAGTACCACTGCAGGAAACTGCCCTTCTTAGATTCGGTTATCCTGCGCCATGTACATTCAGAGCTCTGCATTTCTTCCTCTTGGTTTATGAAATGCCTTTCTAATTGATAAGAGCTGCCAAGGTTTGGGGAAGAAAGGTAAATGTGGCCTCCCTGGTCCGTGCATGGTCAGTGGGCAGTCCATTACAGATCGCAAGATTTTCATCAGAGAGAAGTTCAGGAAGTAGCTGGAGACAATAAACTCCAAAATAGAAATGCCTCAGCCATGTTTTGGGTCTTGGATTTGAATCATGATGTCATAACTTCCATATTGTAGTTGAGATATAATTTTTTTCCCATTGTCTTTCCTTAGCTTGAAGAAACAAACAGGACACTTACCAGTGATGTTGCCAATCTTGCCAACGAAAAAGAAGAATTAAATAACAAACTGAAAGACACTCAAGAGCGTATGTATTCGAGAATGTCATTTTTAACACATATCCACTATCCAGCACATGCTGAAGATGTTTGTCTAACATCTGTGTTTCCCACATTTCAGAACTGTCAAGGTTGAAAGATGAGGAAATAAGTGCTGCAGCTATTAAAGCACAATTTGAAAAGCAGCTGCTGACAGAGAGAACACTCAAGACTCAAGTACGTCACCAGACTCTTAACGTCCTGTCATATTTGACTCTTGTCTGTCTTACTGCTAGTGTTACAGATAGGAAGCTGTAACCATCAAGTGTATCAGTATTTGTGAGCCTGCTTTTTTGGCCAGGCTAGGAAAACTTAATTCAACTTGCACTGTCCAGTTCAGTGTCTGTAAAGTTTTTCTCAGTTTTCCATATGAACTCAGATTCTCTCCTCATGGCTTATGGTAATCAGTAAAATTTTTCCTATTCAGAAGATAATAAAGAGTGACCATTTGCTCTTGGTCTGGACAGGCAGTGTGCTCCTGAGGTTGGTGACCACCACCCACTGCCATAGGTGCTGCAGGCAGCATAAGCTGTGTGGGTGCTCATTGCCCTCTGCCGTTGGGCAGGGTATGTTTGTAGTGTGGTGTCAGGGCAGAATTTTTTCTCCAGAGAAAAGGAAGGGACATCTGTATAGCCAAGCCTCCATTGGAACAAAACTTGAAGTGGTAGAAGCATTTTAATTGGTGCTGAGGATTGAACCCAGCACTGGATACATCTAGGCAAGGCCTACTCCACTGAATTGTATCCTCAGCTCCCTGTCAGTATTTAAATTACAGCTCTCAAAAACCATAAGAGCCAAAACTTGTGTTGCATAGAATGAAGGCAGTGAATAATAAAGATGTATTATTTAATTACCTAGAAAGTGTTTCTCTGTAGTTTGGTGTATAGGGAAAGAGATTATTGGTGGTTGTGTAATTTGGGACTGGTGAGTTACTTGGAAACCATCAACATGTATCTCACTTGTTTTTACATTTTTAAGGCTGTAAATAAGTTGGCTGAGATCATGAATCGAAAAGAGCCTATCAAGCGTGGCAGTGACACTGATGTGCGAAGAAAAGAAAAGGAGAATAGAAAGCTGCACATGGAGCTTAAGTCTGAGCGTGAAAAATTGACCCAGCAGATGATCAAGTACCAGAAGGAACTGAATGAAATGCAGGCAGTAAGCAAGTTTATTAGACTCTATATTGAGGACTACTTCTTAAGAAGTAGAATTGTAGCTGGGTGTGGTGCTGTACTCCTATAATCCCAGCACTTGGGAGGCTGAGGCAGGAGAATCATTTGAGTATGAGACCAGCCTGGGCTACAGAGTGAGCTCAAGGCCAGCCTGAACTGCATAGCAAGACCCTGTCTCATGAAAAACTTTAAAAAAAAAAAAAAAAGGAAGTACAGTTGTGTCCATGTCTGTGTGTACCTGGATGGTTGTGGAACATTTCTACCAACAACTGTTACTGAGCCACGATGCAAAATTGTGAGATATCTTGCATCCAGTTAACTAAATTCATTTAATTTTTTATAGCAAATAGCTGAGGAGAGCCAGATTCGAATTGAATTGCAGATGACACTAGACAGCAAGGATAGCGACATTGAGCAGCTGCGGTCACAGCTGCAGGCCCTCCACATTGGCCTAGACAGTTCCAGTATTGGCAGCGGCCCAGGGGACACAGACGCCGAGGACGGGTTTCCAGGTATGGCTTTGCTTATGCCCCAGTGTCCTCACCATGGGCCAGGTGATGGGGCTAGGTCCCACATCTGACTGCTTCTAAGGGAAAATGTTTACCTTTTGCTTTATCTTAACATTTTGGGCTCATTTGTCGATTTTTGTCATACTGTTCATAAAAAGACAAATAGGCAAAAGAAGCCATTACCTGTTCAGACGTGTGGCTTCTACTGTTCTTGAGGAATTATCTTTTTAAGCTTCCCTTTCCTTTTCTCTCCTCCATGCACCCTGCTTCCTCATGTGTTGGGTGTTCAGTTTGCATCACTCAGTCCCACACTGTGGAGTCTGTGTCCTTCTCCTTCCGGCGCTCTTCCACGTCTCTCAGCATGGCCACTGGGCCTTCTGGGTCCCACGGGCTCCTTGATGTGGACTCAGACTCAGACTTGGACTCAGACTCAGAAGAGCCTTTGCCTTACTGTCCTGTTTCCTCAGAGCCCAGTGGTACAGGTGACAGTGTGAAAACTTTCTCAGCTGTGGGCCCTTGCTTGCTACCCCTAATTGTAGTCCTTTGGAAACTTCCTGTAACATCAGCTCACCTTCACTAACTCTGATACATTGTTGTAGACTCAGTCAGAAACAAGCAGCTGCATGAACAGAGACTGTTTGAAAGGTATTTTGTTGTGACGTTGCATTATCCTGGCTCATTTACTTTGCCAACTTGGGAGAAATGGAGCAATACATGTTGTCACTATCAAGAATAATAGTACAGAAAAAATATGTGAACTGTTCGAGGGAATATGTTTAGGTTTTCATCAAGGACTTAATGTAGTCAGCATTAGCCTAGGCCTTAAAAGATGTGGTAGTTTGGTCCAGTCCTTCCCCTGAGAGTGCTTTTCTATTCAAGTGAAGAGACCAGGCTGTCTTTATTTAGACTCAGCATCCCTGTGAGATCTGAGTTTCTGCATATAAGTTAGGGATGCCATTGCTATTCTGTGGTGCTGTGGTAAGGATTATAGAGAAGTTAGGTAATGAACCTAACACAGCTGGCACATGCTGAACAACTGGAAACTCCTTTACTGCTAGAATAACCTCCTCAAACCCTACTTCTGCTTGTCTCATGAAAAGACACTGATCAGATGTACTAGACCAAATTGTCAGGGCTGACATTGCTTTGTACAACTAGAATTATACTGGTTTTGCTATTGTAGAGTTCAGAAATATTTTGCTTATATTGCTGCACATGGTGTCATGACCAGATTTGATCTGTAAGTTATAGTTTTATTTGATCTTATCAGGCCATTGTGAAAGTCTCTGAAAACATGGCCTCACTGAAATGTTTTGTCCTGGAAGGTTTCTATTCCAACTGTAATGAGGCTTCTTTGGCCGGGGATATAGCACAGTGGCACAGCACCTGCCTGGAAAGCACAAGGTCCTGAGTTTGATTCCTGGCATTAAAAAAAAAAAAGGCTTCTTCCAAAAGAAAAATACAGGTTTATAATGCTGATGTACCAGTGAAAATAGAGTTTCTAGACCTTTTGGTGTTTTGCGACTTTTCTCCTGAATTATGCCAATGCATACTGGAGTGTTCGACTTTGCACAGCTGTGCAGCATTTTTCCAGTGTGATCTGACCTGGGTTTGTTTTGCATTGCGTAACTTGCTTTTACTGACCTTGCATTGGTACTGTATCCTAGGCAGTAAAAAAACCTGAAGGGTACTTTGGATGGTGTCCATATTAAAATTGAATGCCTCCTTGTCTAAAAAGAATCATCAGATTTACCCTCATACCTCATGCTTATTTATAGAGTCAAGACTAGAAGGATGGCTTTCGTTACCTGTGCGAAACAACACTAAGAAATTTGGATGGGTTAAGAAGGTAATGATTAGTTTGAATGTGATTCTTTTTTGAGTACTTCCCGTTTAATTCCAGCTATTTTACTTTCACAGTTGTAGAATGTACATGACCAAACTTATCAGACACATCAAACTTCGTTATTCTTCCTGATTTGAAATGTTGTGATTTTTATCTATTTTTTAAAAAAAATGCTCTCTATGTGTTAATAATAAACTGAGTTGGGGCTAGAGTTGGGGCTCAGAGGCATAAGTGCCTGTCTGGCAAGTTCAAGGTCCTGAGTTTGATCCCCGGTGCCAATCATCATCATCATCATCAGCAGCAGCAGCAGCAGCAGCATCATCATCAACTGAGTTTTGGGATTAAGAAAAGACAAGTTTGTTGACCTCAGTGTTTTTGCTGTTTCTGGGAAAACAGCTATAGATAGGGAAGCGAGGCCCATTTACTTTTTGTTCTTCTGTTACTATGATTATTAATGTTTTTGCATTGATTTTGAGTAAGTTTCCTAGTGTTGTTGGGTGCCAAAATCAGCCCAAAAATACTTTACCTCAGTCCCTGTCATTTATTTAATATCCATAAGCAAAAAAAGAAAAGAAAAGAAAAGAAAAAAGAAAGAAATATCTACAGACAGCTTTGTTACCTTAAGGAAGACTTTCCAAAAATGTTTCAGTACATCTTATTCAGGTGTTTTCTAATTTTTATTGCTAATATACAATATATTTCAAAAAAAGCAATAAATATGGTATGTTTTTTATTTATTGATTCTTTCTCTCTTTTTAACAGTATGTGATTGTAAGCAGTAAGAAGATTCTTTTCTATGACAGTGAACAAGATAAAGAACAATCTAACCCTTACATGGTTTTAGATATAGAGTAAGTGTTTTTATGAGAACATTCAGAGATTTCTCTGGTAAACATGTATTTACAATCTTTTCACCATCTTTATTATCTTTGCAGTAAAGTGACCTTTTCTGCCAAGTAGATACAATTTATTAGTAGTCATAGAAGAGCTCATATAGCATGTAGCTGTTACTGTACTAGTATTACATTTTCTTATAATTTTCTTCAGACAGATTAAAGTCTGAAGATATAAAATTAAGTCATGTTTATTTTATATGTCTTAAATATATTTTGTGAAGTTAATTGGAAAACTTGGCCAGGTGTGGTGGCATACACCTATAATCCCAGCACTTGGGAGGTTGAGGCAGGAGGATTGTTGTGAGTTCGAGACCAACCTAGGCTATAAAGTGAGCTCAAGGCCAGCCTGAACTGCATAGCTAGACTCTGTCTCAAAAAGACAAAAGAAAGGGACTGGGGAGATAGCTCAGCCATCAAAGTGCCTGCCTGGCAGGCACAAGGACCAGAGTTTCATCCCCGGTACCTAAGCTGTAGTGGTCATGAAACCAGGTTTGGTGGTGCACTGGGGAGGCTGAGACAAGAGGATCACTATGTGTCTGAACTACATAGTGAGAACCTATATCGAGTAAATAAAGGAAGGTGAAAGGAAGAAAGCAAGCTTGACTTAACTAAAAATTTCTGAAAAATCTTGATGATTGAGTTAATAGAGGTGAACTTCTAACACAGGTCAAAGTGGTCAGGTTTAACTTTGACACAGTATAGGTTAACTAATATAATTAGATCCTTCGGTAATTTTATTCCTGTATGAATTTTTTTATAGCAAATTATTTCATGTCCGACCAGTTACACAGACAGATGTCTATAGAGCAGATGCTAAAGAAATTCCAAGGATATTCCAGGTAAGTTGTTTGCCTTTCTGCTCTTGCAGCTTCTCCACAGTCCAGCTCAGTGTACTTCCTTCCCCATTGATGGTCACCTCACCTTTGTCTCTTGGACCATTGAGGATGGCTTGTTCTCTCAGGACATCCATGCTTGTTCTGTCTGGGAACACTTTGTTTTTTGTTTTTTTAAAATAATTTTATTGAGAAGCAAATAGCAATGAGACAGTTTCAAAACCAATTAGTAGGACAGTTTCAATAATTAATACATTGCATATTGTTGTCTTAGTGGTTATTCACTGTACAAGATGCAGAAATGATATCCTGTCTACAAACACTATTAGAACAAATCTTTCTATTTATTGAATTAAGAGAAAGTAGCTATATATCTTTTTTTTTAGATTTCTATAAATTTATTTTTTTGAATGCATAAAGAATTTTTTTGTTTTATTTTTATTTTTTTTTATTTTATTGGGAAACAAATATCAATGAGACACTTTCCAAGCTGATTAATAGGACATTTTCAATAATTAATACATTACACATTGTTATCTTCTCAGCAGTCATCCACAGCACAAGAAGCAGCCAGGACATCCCATCCAAACACTACTACTACAAATCCTTCCTCTCACTGAACCAAGCGAAAGCAGCTGGGAACACTTTCATTCCTCTCTGTGTAACTTAACTTATGAAAGCACATAGTGTATTTACTATGATGGTTCTTCTGATCTTTATTCTTCTTTGCAGTGTTGGTTTTGATTTTTTTTTAACATGAACTTTCTCCTGGTTTTGGTTTTAGGTTTTCTAAAGGTTCAAATGTCACTTATGAAGTTAAATTTTATACCTACTAGCCTATTTCCTGTTTAAACATGAAGGCAGCCAAGTGTAGTTGTGATTGCCTATAATCCCAGCACTCTTGGAGGCTGAGACAGGAGGACCCCAAGCTCAAACCCAACCTGGGCAACATAACAAGACCCTATCTCAAAATAAAAAGTTAAAAAGGCCTAGTAACCCAATGTGAAGGCCCTGCATTTCAGTCCCCAATACCAGATAAAGAAAAAATAAAGCCAAATCCTTTTCTTTACTACTTCTACTTTAAAATTATTTGCACCAACTTTAGCTGTCGAGTTCTTTCTACATGAAAGTCACTGAGCCTGGCTTACCCATTTTCTTGTGTTTCTGCTCTTTATTCAGAACAGGCTGCTTGTTGTCTCCCCCCACCCCCCATTCTCTAAACATGTGTTTTGAAAGAAGGCTGCATATGACCAAGTTTTATGGGTTGGGTGTTTTGTTTTGTTTTGTTTTTAGAATGAATGTGACCAAGGTGTATAATACACACACACACACACACACACACACACACACTTGCGGGGGGGGACACACACACAAAGAAACAAAGAGAGACCAACAATGAAAAACAAAATAAAAGTGCTTGGTCAACCTTGTTGCTAGACCACATCTGACTTCAGTTGATGAGAGCCTCTTCCACTAGTTTCAAAGCTTACCTCCATATCCAGATGTGGTTGCACACTCTAGTAATCCTAGCACTCTGGGAAGCTGAGGCATGAGGATTCCAAGTTTGAGCCCAGTCTTGGCAACAGTTTTTGGAGGTTTTAGTCCATACTCACTCAGCTGGCTCCAAGGCAAAGCAGCACATAGCAAAGAGGAACAGTTCAAAGCCACAGAAAGCAGCAAAACAGCAAGTGCAAAAGGGAGGAGCAGCGGCAGCAGCAGGGAGCTGGGTTGTTTGTTTAAGGCATTAAGGATTGAACCCAAGGCCTGCACACTGAACTATGTTTCCAGGCCTCCACCAAGCCCCTTTTTTGAGACAGGTCTCACTAAATCGCCCAAGCTAGGCTCCAACTTGGGATCATGCTGCCTCAGTCTTCCATAGTGCTGGGATTATTGGTATGCCACCATGCCTGACCAGTTTTTCTGTTTTTAAGGAGTATATGTTAGCACCACCTTCCTCCCCTGCTGGAACTGGGACCCTGAGCTTCAAATGTGCTAGACAAGCACAGACCTGTACCCCAGCTCTGTTGTTGGGAAGTCTAAAACACCAGTACATAAACTACTGTATTTTTTTTTTTATGATTGGTTTTGGGTTGCCACTATTTGGTTTGCAGGAAAGGGTGCTATGGGTTGAACTTGGGCCTCCCTTGGGTGGCTGTACTGAATAGGCCTGCCCAGCAAAGCTGCTGTGGGATAGCTGAAAGTAGGGTTCACATTCCACTGCCAGGTGAGTGGTAGCCCTGACATGCAGAGGCTGTGCAGCATGACAGCGGCTGTCTAGTAACTCTTGTCTCATGAGTTTCTTTTTCTGAGTAGCTGAGGCTCATTTTTACTGCATGCACACTGTTGGAACTTAAGCTGACATCATTCGGTGTTCTTTCTGTTTTTATAGATCCTGTATGCCAATGAAGGAGAAAGCAAGAAGGAACAAGAGTTTCCGGTGGAACCAGTTGGAGAAAAATCAAATTACATCTGCCACAAAGGACATGAGTTCATCCCCACCCTGTACCATTTCCCGACCAACTGCGAGGCCTGCATGAAGCCGCTGTGGCACATGTTCAAGCCCCCTCCTGCTCTGGAGTGCCGCCGCTGCCACATCAAATGTCATAAAGACCACTTGGACAGGAAGGAGGAGATCATTGCGCCCTGCAAAGGTGAGTGGTCTCCTGCTCTGCTGTGGTGCTGCCAGCACGCAGGCACTGACATAGCTTCATGTCTTTCACAGTATACTATGACATCTCCACGGCCAAGAACCTGCTGCTCCTGGCCAACTCCACAGAGGAGCAGCAGAAGTGGGTGAGCCGCCTGGTGAAGAAGATCCCCAAGAAGCCCCCGGCTCCTGACCCCTTTGCGCGCTCCTCACCCCGCACCTCCATGAAGATCCCACAGAACCAGTCCCTGCGGAGGCCCAGCCGGCAGCTTGCCCCCAACAAGCCCAGGTGAGGCCAGAGCCTGGCTGGCTGTGGGGAGCTGTGTTGCTCCTACTGAAGCTTGCCCTGATTGTAGTCTCTCTGGGTGTCTTCATGATCCACAGAACACAGTACGAGAAACTCTGGTGCACACATCAGCCTGGAGCTGATGGTGGCCACAGGGCTGGTATCAGCTTCTGACTTCCAGCTTGCAGCTCAGCACCATGGACAGAAGTGTGCATGGAAAATTATCTCAGGCCTAGTCCCTCAGCACACACCAGGCTGTAGAGTGACACAAGTGGATGAGTAATTGGATCAGGGTGTGTTTTGCAGAGATTGTACTGAGCGCACCTGTCTCAGGATGAGATGGTGGGTGGTCTGTGTCCAAGGCAGTCGTTCACCCACCATCTGCTCTGTCAGTGTCCCTGTTCACAGGCACCCCCCAGAGTAAACATCTGCCTTTCCTGCAGCCTCATCCAGGCATCATTAGGCCTACTTTGCCACACAAACCACACACACTAGCATAGTGCCTAGTGACACAGTGGTCACAGAGCCCACACTCCTCCTGCATCTGAAAAGGTGAAGGTAAACATGTTCTTACAGAGGACAGACTGGGTCAAACCCCATGTCCAAGCCAAGGAGAGATGCAGCACTACCTTCTCCCCAGCCTCTCCTGTCTGGCTTGTCTAGGCCACACAGTGGCTATGACCCACAGTAGCTCAGCTCCTGCTGGAATGGGGAGGGCTGTACTCCTGTTGGCCATACTTCCCTTCCAGGGTTCAAGGCACTGTCCTGGAGCACTAGAGGTCTCCACAGGCATGTGTGTACACCCAGGGTCAAAGGTCCGCTCCCACCTCAGTGCCTGGCTAAAATCACACACTTGTCAGTCACATCAGAATGTACACTCAAGGAGAGGGCAACTTCGTGCTGTGCATTCAGCTCAGTGTCCCTGGCAGTGGTAGTGGCAGCAGTGGTGGCAGCAGCACTGTGGAGAGAAGGCAGTGAGTAGTGGCACCTCCAGGGGCATGGCTGGTTCCTGACCTCAGCTGCAGCTTCCAAGGGCATGGAGTGTAAATGTGCATACCTCCTGTTGCAGATTGCTTGACTTGGCATTGAAGGACTGGGATTGGTCCTTTGATGATATTGATGGTGATGATGATGGTGACGATGTTTTTGATTTCTGAAGAAGGAGATGGGGTAAATCAAAAAGCGAAAATGAGTTGTTTTGGTACTTCTGTGTAGCGCATGTGGTTTGTCATTGAGCTTTCATTATTTTTTAACTAGTTTTGAAACTTTATAAGATTTTTAATAGCATACACTTAAAATGTAGTTTCCAAAAAAGTTCCTAACTGAAATTTCTGTGTCAGGTGTCAAAGTGAAATGCTATGTTCAGATTCTTTATTGGCTACAAACTTGCAATATAGTAGAATTGAATTTTTTTTTTAATCTTATTGATGATAAATGTAGAAGCAGCAAAAGGAGCTAATAACTTTAAGCCATATTCCAAGAAGTAAATCCTTGGCACTCCATTATGTACTCAAGTTTGTGAACATAGCATGGGCTGTGTCCCCTCCCCCCCTCCTCTAGCTTGCAAGAATTGAAACTCCAAAAAGCCAATGTGTCTGATGAGTGCAGTGAATAGGCTCTTTCTGACTCGGCTTTGTGATGTGAAATGTTTGCAAGAATCGAATGTTAGCCTTGCTAAAGAATGCGAGTGCTGTGCTGTGAGAAGCCTTGTGCTTGTGGGTAGTGCCAAGTGCAGAATGGTTTGGTTTACTGTGACGAAAGGAGGCTGAGAGTGGCACTCCTGGCCTGCCCTCCTCCCTGGACATCGTGGTCGTGTGTGTTCTGAGCTAAGCACATTTTGCACATACATATCATAAAATAGTGGGATCTGTTTATAACAAGTTTTCATGGAGTCTTGACAGATACTTACTGCCAAAGTGTGTTTCCCATTTCTTATTTTCGAAGTTTCAACCCTTTTCTGTATTTAAGAAAGAAATCTCAGCTAGCAGCTACAACCTAGTCAAGCTTCTATACAGATATGTTGCTGCTCTGCGGTATGCCTTTAACCCTAGAGCCACTTATCTGCATTGAGAATGTGTGCAGAGTCAGCCAGGATGAGGCTTCCAAAGCCCGCTGCTGCCAGGCATGGTGGTGTACCGGTCATCCCAGCGCTCAGGGGGCTGGGCCAGAGGATAGCTCGAGTTCAAGGCCAGCCTGGACTACGTAAAACCCTCTTAGACGGAAAAGCACAGTCCACTGTTGTACTGACAAAGAATATAGTTAATTGCATGTACCTAAAAAAAGAAAACTTTTGTGACTAAATATACTTCTGCATGGTTTAGAGGTTAGAAATGTAGCAGTTAGAAGACCAGCTGCTTTTCTGAGGAGTTAATGCTTTCACATCGCTGCCCTGTGTCAACTGACTTTGCCTTCTTTCTTTCTAGCTAATTGCCTTCAACAAAAGCAATCATCCAAGGCAACTGTGTTCTTCCAGGTAAAACAAGACTGCAATGTGATGGCCTGGAACTTAGTAGAAAGCTGTATTTTCCTGAAGGACACACACACACACACAC